TGTGCTGGTTTTGGCATGCATGTTCCTTCATTCTTGTCCCGTCCATATGAAATAACTTTACTCCCTGCCATCCTATGTGGAATTTCTGGCATTTTTTTTTTAGAACCTCTATCATAGTGCTAATTTAGTTCACAAGACATGTAAGGAACCAAAATTTGTGTTAGATTTATTCATGTGGTTTAACTGAGTCAATTGTTAGGTGTAATAACTATTCCATATGACCAACTTTTCCAAGATGGTCACACTTGCACAAAATATGCAAGGAAAATTGGTTACCACAGCAGGATTAGCAGGAATTCTACCTGTATATTTGCTACTACTATTTTCATTTACAAGGTCCTAGTGAAATTTTGTGCATTTTGCACACAATTTTTTGCAAGCTGGAAACCTAAGCGTCACATTTCTGGTGCTAAATAACAACAAAAATCAATTAAGAGGAAATAACCTTTACACAAAAGCTGCAAAGCAGCATAGAAGCACAATGTATTTCAGAACGCTATTCAGAACAATGACATTAGTATCATTATGTAATCTTCTACCTACTTTAGGTAAATGTTTCCAAGATCCAGGTTTGTGCGGACTTTGCACAGAAGCTGGCAGCATTATCTCAGATATCTGTCCATTATCAGTATCATTACAAACATTCAGCCTAGCTCTACAAAACTATATACAAACACTTCTCAGATTAGCACAGAAGGAATTTTTTTCCTTGTTGCTATAGGATATTTACACTTCCAAGGATGCCCCAATTGGAAGTACTGCTTAAAATACATTAGCAATATTTCTTTGACATCTGCCACATACACTTCAGCACAGTCCTTTTTAACAACATATTCTCATGAATCATCTACTTAAAATCTACCTCATGTGCCAAAGAGATGGTGATAATGGAAGTCTGACAGTTTTTTGGATTTGTTACACTGATGCAACAGGCAACATGCTGAGACAAGTCCAAACACCCAGGGAAGGAGAGGGAATAATACAGTTGAATACCATCTGTGCTACAATTATTTCGCTTTTCCACATGATAAACTAAATTATGCATATTACTTCCCGGTCCACACCCGGTTAGCCACTCAGCTGCCTCTAGCCATCTTAAAAATGGGGGAACATCAGTTCTAATTGGCTATCCTAAGCTTGCTAGCAGAACCCTAGTAGGTCCAACCAAGTAGTAACCAAAGAGAGAGGAAAAAAGATATTTAGATTCAAGACGATACAAATATATTTAGTCTTGGATGGGAGGTTATCACCTCTGAGCACTATCTCCCAAGTGCTGAAGCATCCAAATGAGACATTGGAAAAAGACAGTGTAACCAAACAATTTCAAATTTTCTAATGAAAAATCTGTAAAACATCGTAAGACTCTAGCATAAGAATCTCTGCATGAAGCCAGAGGGCCAGCCAACTGAGTATCGTGCCTCTAACAGATCCCAAGAGTGTATATAAAGAAAAAATGTAAGAATAACTTGGAATGATACTTCCAAAGTACACTCTCCTAGCCTCCACCAGTTTGCAGCTCAAACTTCTTGACCCAGAGGCAATATCTGTATCCTTACTCATTGTTCATGAATTTTTAATTCACACATTTGCCTAGTCATTTTTTGACTACATATAAAATCATCAATATGACAGGAAAAGGGTTCCACAGCCTAATTGCATGATGAGCATATACATTTTTTTTTGTAAACCTGCCACTTCCTATTTCATTATATGCTTCCTATTCTTGCACTACAGGAGCATGAACAATCTTGTTCTTTGCTGAGAAGAGAGAGAGACAACCGTTAAGCATTAGTCTCTTTGGCAATAGCAATATCAAATGGATCATGATGAAAATTAAGCAAATGAACTTTGCTTTGAACAAATGAAATGAGTCTGTTTCAAAGAAGAAAACATTTTTATAGCTTTCAGAATGTGTGTCATCTTTAGCAAAGGTGCAAAAATTCACATATTTAAGATAGTTTAAGTTTACTTAAGCACAAGAAGCTGAAAGATTCAACAGAAGATCCAAACAATTGATATTATGAATATTACTAATTGCCAAAAGATTCTATCATAGAGAAAATCTTTGTATACCCCAAAGTCTCATATTCCTGCTTGAAAAATGGAAATATTGGACTACAGAGGTAAGCTACATGACAAAGTCGTATGTTTTGCATGTTGTAAGCTAAGCAAGACTACTGCGTAGAATCCATGTTTTTCCAAACATTGTAGAAAAAGCAGGTATATGTGCCATTTTGCATGCATTCCTTATCTCAGTGGATACAAATCAGTTCTACTCACTGATAATGATGTAAATAAATTTCTGCTCTGTATTGGATTTAGCAGCGAATGATTTACCTTGCTCAGTTTATCACAGAGTTGGAATAAAGACTCAGGTGATATTCACTAACATCAGTAAAGTAACAAAGGCTTTGGGATTAATGCATTAATAACAATGATTTCTCTGAACCTCTTTTTGGATTGAACACTGTCAGTACTTTTTTAAATAAGAGAAAGCTGGAAGATCTAAAAGTTATGCGAAAGTAATGCAGTTATCAACAGTTCTTTTCCAAGCTTTTCTGTAGATCTCCTTGAGAAATTGCAGAAATTCATAAACTGTCAGTGTGTCCCAAGAACTCAAATGAGTGATAATAATTGATTTTCTTATCAGCTCTTCTGTGCCAAAAGGGATGACACTGACAGCAGTTACTTCTGCAGTGCATGCAGTAAGAGAACTATTACAGCATATATGGCACACAAATTATCAATCAGTAATTTGGGGACAATCCCTGCAGTGTGAACCTGTTGTACAGAATTTGCCAGAATACAGTTAGATAAATGATGCCATGGGCAACCTGCACATTTAGTAACTGGATCACACAGATTATGAAATGAACTGCATCTGCACCTGCTAAATCCATGAATGTATATGAATTAACTACAAACTGAAATACATACAGATGTGCAAGCTGCAAATTTTTAGCAAAGAGATGAATGGTGGTGAAGAGGATAGTGTGAAAAGTCATTTCAATGAAGATAACGAGGAGCACACGTTTCAAATGTGTATTCAACATCTTACAAGTGTCTCACATTATACCTAAAATACTTTGATGAAAGCACATCATTACAATAGGCCTCTTCAAGTAACACCAAGGACTGACAGTTTTACCTAAGCTCATTGACTATTCATTCTATATTTTTTTCCATAAGTGTTATTTTAAAATAGAGCCCACAAGTAGCAGGGCCTTCCGTAGATGTGCTCCTGAAGTTCAACTTTATTTACATGAATGTATACTTTGCCTTTTAACAGTTGTTGCAGGGTTTTGTTTGTTTGATATCTTGACAATTTTGATACTGCTTCTGCCATTGGGTTTGCTATGATGCAGTGAGAACATGACATTCAAGTTTTGCTGCTTTGCAAAACTGCAAAATCCCAAGAGGCAAAACAAAGTCCATTACCTGTAATGATACTCGTTGGAATTCCATGCTGGGCAAACCAAGGAATGGGAGAAGCTTCCATTGTTGCATAAAAATGATCCACTACTTAACTGTAAAATGACAAACTATCACAAAGTATACTTGATTTCCTTCAAGCTAGCCCACGCTTGTTAATTTGCTGGGAATTTATTGCAGATACTGCATTGAATTCTTATTTTTGATGCCTAATGAATTTGCTGATCTCTAATGAATTTGCTTTACAGAAGGAAACTAACTGGATGGAAAAGACTGAATACAGATTGTTGGTGAGGTCCTGAAAGGTGTCCATTTTTCAGATTTTGTTTTCCTCAAGTATTTAACAGAAAGGAACAGCAGGGGCAAAAGTGAGCTGGTACCACTGGTTATCACGAGGACGCTTAAAAAAAAGGAAACTATTGTGCTTTTCACATGAGAATAAGCACTAATATTAAAAAGAGAGGCAGGAGGGTAGTTATTTTCAAGGTCCAGAATAACCATAATTTTCTATGTATGATGATAGCTACTGGTAATTATCTGTTATCCATACACATCCACTGATATTTATACTGTTCTTGTACGCCTTTTATTGAATGTAGGTTTTACATAACACAGCCACTAGGCTCCAAATAATCCAATATATTTAAAACTAAAGTCAAAATGCAGTATGAAGTACTATCAATAGTTGTGAACTAAGCAAATTCACTAAGAAGAGAGGGCCTTCTTCATGATGAAAGGGCAATAATGCACACAATGATGGAGATTTTGTATCTATTTTGTTCATTTTTATAGCATAGTTATTTTATTTTGCTTGTTAATCTGAAACATTATAACTATTTTACTCTGCTTATAAATTACTTCCACCTTAATTTAAACAGGTCTACTGTAAGTCATTCTTTTTAAGAAGTCAATAAAAGCAATAAAAGCACTATCTGTCACTTAATTTGTACAACTTAGGTTTTCCTTCAGCATCATATTTTTAATTAGGTACAACCATAATTTATTTATTTTTACCCTAAGAGAAAATAAAACATACGATGGCTACATATGAATAATGAAAACATGACTGATGCAGAAAACAATTTCTTCGACCCACAGTGCCAATTATGAGGTTCTTAAAGTTTATGCAGTGAGTGAAACTAGTGTATCAGTCATGAGTTAGAATCAGGATATCAGCCAGAAGACTTACACAAACTCTTTATCACGCCACACTGACCTTAACAGTATTAAATACCAATAGCTGTCTGCAAGTAAAGTTAGCTGCCTTCCAAAACGTCAAAGCCAACAACATAGAGCATTCCTGGATTCTGTGTTGTAAATACTGAACGTAACACTAACAAGAAGAGTGGTTAAAAAGGCCTGGTCAAGGAATTATAACTTAGGGTTTGGGGTTTTTTTTCAATGTACTCATCTCTTTATAACAATCTCTTTTAACCTAGAAGTGCAGGGGTTTTTTTCCAGTTTGCATGATTTCCATCTATTGAAAGTGTTAGGTTATGTGGCAAAAAGCTTGTCTCCACAAGCACAAAGGAGTGAAGAGAGACTAAGGCATGTGGAGAGAAGCCAACATGCCAGGCTACTCCCAGACCCATCACAGGAGAGCGATCAGCCCAACAAGGGCTCATCTCCGCAAGCACAGACAAGCAAGCGCAGAGCGAGCCCAGCAGCACAGTGGCAGGTGGGGGAACCTAAATTGCTTATCTGTTATCCATACACATCCACTGATATTTATACTGTTCTTGTACGCCTTTTATTGAATGTAGGTTTTACATAACACAGCCACTAGGCTCCAAATAATCCAATATATTTAAAACTAAAGTCAAAATGCAGTATGAAGTACTATCAATAGTTGTGAACTAAGCAAATTCACTAAGAAGAGAGGGCCTTCTTCATGATGAAAGGGCAATAATGCACACAATGATGGAGATTTTGTATCTATTTTGTTCATTTTTATAGCATAGTTATTTTATTTTGCTTGTTAATCTGAAACATTATAACTATTTTACTCTGCTTATAAATTACTTCCACCTTAATTTAAACAGGTCTACTGTAAGTCATTCTTTTTAAGAAGTCAATAAAAGCAATAAAAGCACTATCTGTCACTTAATTTGTACAACTTAGGTTTTCCTTCAGCATCATATTTTTAATTAGGTACAACCATAATTTATTTATTTTTACCCTAAGAGAAAATAAAACATACGATGGCTACATATGAATAATGAAAACATGACTGATGCAGAAAACAATTTCTTCGACCCACAGTGCCAATTATGAGGTTCTTAAAGTTTATGCAGTGAGTGAAACTAGTGTATCAGTCATGAGTTAGAATCAGGATATCAGCCAGAAGACTTACACAAACTCTTTATCACGCCACACTGACCTTAACAGTATTAAATACCAATAGCTGTCTGCAAGTAAAGTTAGCTGCCTTCCAAAACGTCAAAGCCAACAACATAGAGCATTCCTGGATTCTGTGTTGTAAATACTGAACGTAACACTAACAAGAAGAGTGGTTAAAAAGGCCTGGTCAAGGAATTATAACTTAGGGTTTGGGGTTTTTTTTCAATGTACTCATCTCTTTATAACAATCTCTTTTAACCTAGAAGTGCAGGGGTTTTTTTCCAGTTTGCATGATTTCCATCTATTGAAAGTGTTAGGTTATGTGGCAAAAAGCTTGTCTCCACAAGCACAAAGGAGTGAAGAGAGACTAAGGCATGTGGAGAGAAGCCAACATGCCAGGCTACTCCCAGACCCATCACAGGAGAGCGATCAGCCCAACAAGGGCTCATCTCCGCAAGCACAGACAAGCAAGCGCAGAGCGAGCCCAGCAGCACAGTGGCAGGTGGGGGAACCTAAATTGCCTGCTCAGAGGAATGGACACCCTGTCCAGCTCCTTCCAAGAGACCCATTGTCCAGGAGTGACACCCAGCAAGACGAGTCAATGGGAGCACCTCTCCAGAGCACCTTTCAGACTGAGAGGGGTTACTGCCTAGGGGAATTGGACACATTATCAGATGCAGAGAAGAGCCTTTCGGGATTGTTCAAGACTTGTTATGGGACATTTAGGGGAGGAATCAAAGGCAGAGAAAGGGAGGAATCTAGGTGAGTTGGTGGGGAATAAACAGAGGGATATGAGGACAAAAAGGGGCCAGTAACATGTAAACAGGGTTCCTCTGTATGCTTGCTTGGCCATGCCTTGTGGCTGATCAGTACAGTCTGTCCTATCCTCTCACAAAATTCCTTTCTAACTATTTTCCTGGGTGAGAGACTCTATCCTGTGTGCATTTGTGTGTGTGAAGGCCTGAGTGTCAGAAACTGGAGTGAGAACACAGGTAGGAAGGCACGTGTGTCTGGGCTGTCAGCTCCTGGAGAGATTACAGTGAGTGAAATTAAGTGCCAGCACCTAGAGTGGGACAGTGGGTCAGAGCCCATGTGTCTGTAGCGTTAGCAACTAGAGTGAGTGAGGGTCTGAGTACCAGCAACTGCAGTAGGACCACAAGTGAGAACATGCAGGTGTCTGGGTGTCAGCAAGCAGAGCAAGTCAGGGTATGCAGGAGAACGTGTAATCGGAGTAGCTAGCAAACAGGTGAAGTGACCTGCGAGCCAGCTATGTGTGTCAGCCTCTAAGGGTGAGACCACAGGGGCAGCTGGTTATCAGAGACACCAGGGGAGTCCCAACCAACTGCCAGAGAGACTGTAGGGTCTGAACTTGGACTGAGATCCCTTTGTGTCTGGCGTGTGTGTGTCTAGTGGTGAGGCACAGGGAAGAGTGATGATCCAGGACCAGCTACTGGATGGACTGTATGCCGAAGGCCAGCTGCTGGAGGGATCCACAGTATGGGGGGTTTTTTTGTCCTGTACTGCTAATTGGAGTGGGGTTGCAGGCCTTGGGGGCTCATCTATCCAGATGCTAGCACCTGGGGAGACTGGGGATCCAGCAGCCAGCTACTGGGTGGACTGAGTGTCTAAGCCCAGCTGCTGGACAGCTCTACATTGTATATACACACATATGTCCCACTAACGGACCTTCTTCGTGATCAGCCAAAAGGGAACGGGATGAGACTGTTGATGCTGTTTGTGTTTGTGAGTGCTGAGTGTGCCCATCAGTGCTGATCTTTGTGGCCAACTGCGTATATATGTTGTATATGTGTGTCTGCATGGGTGCCTACTGGGAATACATTCTCAGACTTGCTATTAGCCGTACCTAGGAACACAGAGCGGCAACCCCATCAAGCAAATGGGTTCAGCCAACAACCTCCTTACGTAACAGAAAGATTTGAAAAATTGATCCTGGGGATGATTTTTCACTAGTCTAGAACCTCAAGTTTCTTATGCTCAGAGCTCTGTGTTATCTGAGGAACTAATTTAATAAAAATTCATCATAAATGAAAAAAATATATATACAAAATTAGGACACTTATAAGAGAAGTATACAGGCTTAAAGAAACTGCCACCTAAAAGCCCTGGGATTACTGCTGTCTG